AAGACACACCTTAAATATAACTTTTGGGAAGATATGGAGGGGTTGATTCAAAGCATACCACTCGAAGAAAAAAAATTTATCAGTGGAGATCTTAATGGACATGTCGGCAGGGAAGCAAGACAATTTGGTAGGGCTCATGTTGGTTTTGGTTTTGAGTAGCTTAATAATGGAGGACAATCTATTCTTGACTTTTCTCTTGTATACAATCGCAAGATTGTCAACACTTGTTTTAAGAAGCGAGAGGAGCATTTAATCATGTACAAGAGTGGGGACTCAAAATCATAGATTAATTTCTTTTTGGTTAAGAATCCGGATATACGATTGTGTACCAATTGCAAAGTTATTTCTAGAGATGGTGTGACTGCCCAATATAGAGTACTTGTCCTTAATATACATTTTAAGAGTATCAAACAAAAGTATCATCAAGTGATAAAACCCAGGGTTAAGTGGTGGCAGTTAAAGGGTGAGAATCAAGAGTTATTCAAAAGGAACTTTTTAGAGGAAAGAATATAAGAGTTATAGGGAAATGCGAACGTGATGTGGGAAGAGATAGCTACAAGGGTTTGTATGGTAGCTAAAGCAATTTTGGGAGAATCTAAAGGTCGTGGTCAGAGAAATAAGGAGACTTGGTGGTGGGATAAGAGTGTGCAAAAGAAAATCAGATAGAAAAGATATTATTTTAAAGCCATACATTTGTGCAATAATGTAGAAAACTGGGAAAAGTATTGTTTGGCTAAAAAAGAGATGAAGAGAGCAGTGAGCAAAGCACATACTAAAGCTTATAAGGGGTTTTATCAGGAGTTAGGAACAAAGGTAGGAGAAAGAAATATTTACAAGATTGCGAAGCAAAAGGAGAGGAAAAAGAGAGATCTACACCAAGCGAAGTATATAAAGGATGAAGATAGGAAAGTGCTAGTTATTAACAATGATATTAAGGACAGATGAGAGACTTACTTTTACAAGTTGTTTAATGAGAGAAGCGATTATGCGACTCAAGACTTACAGGACTTGCTAATTAATGAAGATGATCTAAATTTGGCTTTTTACCGCAGGATCCGCATTGGAGAGGTCAAGGCAGCTCTACAAAAAAAAGGACAATGATAAAGCCGTTGAGTCTAATGATATTCTTACTGAAGTTTGGAAATGTTTTGGCAATGAAGATGAATTGTAGCTAACCAAGTTTGTTAATAAAATTTACGCTCTACGAATATGCTGGATGATTAGAGGAGAAACATTTTAGTTTCTGTTTACAAGAATAAAGGAGACATTAAAAACTATGCAAGCTACAGAAGGATAAAACTCATGAGTCATATAATGAAATTGTAGGAAAAAGTGATTGAATATAGGTTGAGATTAGAGACTTTTATTTCAGAGAACCAATTTGGATTTATGCTGAGGAGATCCACAACTAAAGCAATCTATTTATTAAAAAGGTTAATAGAAAGATATAGGAGTAAAAAAAGGATTTACATATGGTTTTTATTGACCTGAAAAAAACTTATGATTGTGTGCTAAGAGAAGTACTGTGGAAGGTTTTGAAAAAGAAAAGTATACGAGTTGCTTATATCAAAGCCATACAAGATATGTATGAGGGGGTAACTACTAATGTAAAAACGCCTGGAGGTGAGACAAATGACTTCTCCATTAAGATTGGCCTACATCAGAGATCTTCTTTGAGTCCTTACTTGTTTAATATTGTTTTGGACATTCTAACCAAACTTATTTTAAAAAAAATCCCTAAGTCCATGCTCTTCATAGATGACATAGTTCTCATAACATAATCAAAAGAAAAGATTGACTCTAAATTGGATTTATGGAGAAGGACTTCGAAGTCAAAAGGTTTTCGTTTGAATAGGAACAAAACAGAATATATACATTGTAATTTTGAGAAGAGACAGGGTAATGGTGATTTAGAGGTAAAGATGGGGGGATCGAATCATCCTTCAAGTATCAAAATTTAAATACTTAGGATCTATTATACATGAGGATGTAGAAATTGATAGAGACGTTTCTCGTAAAATACAAACTGGCTGGTTAAAGTGGGGGAAGGCTACTGGAGTTATTTGCGCTAAAAAGGTACTCAAGAAGTTTAAGGAAAAATTTTATCAAACTGCTATAAGACCAGCTATGTTGTACGGTAGCAAATATTGGGCGATAGAAGAAAAACAAGAGCACAAAATTAGGGTAGTAGAAATAAGGATGCTAAGATGGATGTGTGGTCATATAAGAAAAGATAAGATTTGAAATGAAAATATCAGAGCAAAAATTGGTGTGGCACCTATCCAAGAGAAAATGGTTGAAAGTCGCTTAAGATGGTTTGGACATGTGCCAATAAGACCATTAGAAGCCTCGATGAGAAGGGTAGATCAAACAATACGAAATCCCATAAAAAAGGATAGAAAAAGACCGAGAAGAACGCTCAATAAAATCATTGAACAAGACCTCTTAGTCAACAACATATCTAAAAGCTGGGTCAATGATAAAGCATGGTAGTATAGTGTGATTCATGTAGCGGACCCTTCTTAATGGGATAAGACTTGTTGTAAAATTTTGTACGGACACTCATCTATTTTGCTTTATTGCCAAAAATGCTTTTATATATATATATATAGAAATATACAAATATATTTGTAAATCAACTTTAATTTTCATTAGGGCCTGCATTTCATTTGAGTAGTTAGGGTTATTTTATGAACGTTCTTCCAAATTAACTTCATTTTGGGCCAAAAAGCCTAAAGTGGGATTTCAAAATCTCTTAAAACCTCATTAAAAATTAAGCCTCATTTATGGGACTTGAATAAAATTCTCTCCAAGAAAAAATGTGACTGTCACATTTCTCCTTTAATATGGTTAGTTAGTTATCGTAAATAAATATTATCTTTTTTAAAATACCTCTATTAATCATATGTACTAAAACTATTTCTTGATGGAGACTCCATAACATATGCAGTTATATTAAAATTACTTAGAAAAAAATAAATAAATATTAGAAATAAAGTGACTTGAGATCATATATTTAGAATCGAATTGAATCTCTAGCTGCCCTCATACTCCTCCGGTCCTTAATATAAGACCCAATTATTAAGTTGGTTTTGGTCCTAAATATAAGACTTATTTCTCATATTTATCAGTTTTCTCTAAATTATCCCTATAGATACTTCCTCAAGTATAATCAAGTAGAAAAAGGAGAGGGGTATTAAGAAAGATGATTATGGTGTTTTAAGAAAAATGTGTCACATTTCTTATAATTAACAAACTTATCTAATTTCCTTAATTTAATCAAATTAGTTAAATAGGTCTTATATTAAGGACAAGAGGAGTATTAAATATCAAAAGTAATATATTGTAGATTTTAGAATATATGAACGACTATAGAGCTTTCAAATAGTAAAGCATGAAATATAAAAATAATATAAAGAAAAAATTAAAACACCTTTAGCACATGCCCTCACTACAACATAAGCCAGCAATCTTTAAAAACAAAACAAAAAAAAAGTCTTTTAGCTGCAAAGACTTTTAACTGCACAAAAAAAACTAAATGAACAGTCACAAAAATACCTCAAAAACCATCTTTTTTCGAGGCTATAGGGTATAGACATTGAAAAGTTTTCCCATCCAAGAATTATGAGATATGATGTTATCATTATACATAAAAAAGATCCTGAAAATCTCATTCTTGAATAATATCAGCATCTCAACAACTTTTAAGGCTAAACAAACTGGAGTTATTAGGCATGACGAGGGGGAGAAGAATCAACTGTGAATCAAATAAACACAAAATAGTTATCATGCTCCTGCCTGAAATAGTATTAAGAAATTGATTCTATTAAATAGCAGCAATAAACACATTATGAATAATTATGAGGCTTGCTTAGGTGACCAAGATAGACCATGATATAAATTGGTCAAGGGCTCAAAATTATAATTATAATATACTATAACAAAAATTGCTAATAAACCTTCACTTACCAATTTATTAATTCTTTTATTTAAAAACATATTTTTAAAATAATATTAGATCTTTTATGAACATATGATCTAGATTCCAATCACCGTCCCCGACATTTTCTTAATAAAAGTTGTTTCCAAGGGACGAGGGACTCAAGCTTCATCCACACATCATGCCTAAAAGACTTTTATGTGTGATGTTCTGGGATATCACAATAAAACTGTTTAGGGGGGAAAACGTTTATGTGTGACCTTAAGCTTATAAGTTAGAATGATCTACAAAAATTAATTCAAATTTGAAAAAGAGGTCTGAGCCTGTTTGGTATGAGAAAAATAGAGAGAATGGGAGAAAAAGAAAAATTTTAACGAGTTTGATTCAAAAAACTGAAGAAATGTGGTTAAGAACTTGAAGTTTTTTTTTTTTTTTATATGCAAAAATTTAGGTGAATTGGGTCCCGAAAGCTCACCAGGACTAGGATATTCCTCCAGGTTCAGAGAACGCTTACAAAGGTACTTATAAATCGCCCACCAACAAGATCCTCATATCGGCAGCGGGATTCGAACTCACGAACTTGTGGGTTATGAACTGACTCCTTACCAACTGAACAAACTCTTATTGGTATTTGAAGTTAATTTTACTTGTTCTTTATCTTATATCTTTTTTTTTTAATCAAAATTTTATAACCCCACTTTTCTTTTCTTTTTTATTTTTTAAATCAGCTCATTAAAATGTTTTCTTCCCTCCCTTTCCCCCCAATTCCCTCATATCAAACATAGATGCCATGATAATTGCTATGATCAAACCCCTGCCAAAGCACAGACATCTAAGTCCCAAAAAGCCTTCAACTTCAGGCAATAGTCATCATTCTATAGGCATGAAGAAGGTTCAAACATTCTTGTTCCTACAGATTTGATCTGCTCAGAATAAGAATTTGGAATTCATAAACTCCAGAAACGCTAGCAAACAATGTCACAAAATTATTCTAAAGGCAAAAGGAAGTCCTCTGTTCAGGCGACCCGTGACCGGTCGCCCTGTTCCAGAGGAAATATGATGAAGAGGCCAAAAAGTAAAGCTTTACTGAATAAACAACAAACACAACAACAATACAGAAATAATTGGGGAGATGTGACAAAGCATGACTAATTGGATCCTATTTACAACATCACATGAAATATTGCCCATATTTCAACTATCTTGAATGTATTGAACATTAATGAGAAAGCTTGTAAGATATGATTATAACTACGGCGAGAATAAGAGCTCCTATTAGAGAGCCAACTATCCATTTGTTCCTAGAAATCCTCCGTGACATAGAAGATAAAACCTTTTTACTCTTGTCAATGGCATCATCTATCCCAAAAAGCTGCAAGACAGAAATTTGACCATCAGTCTACAATTAATGTCGCTTCTGCTTGCCACTCGCTATGCACAAGGTTTACAGGCCTTATCCCTGAGGAGGTGTAATTAACTCATATACCAGTCAGCTCCCCTTGATATTTGAAATAACATGGAATGGAATACTATAAGATGATAGGCTATCTGAGATGCTTGTGTTTAATAAGGCAATTGGGGGCAGCTAACATTCCAAGGGAAGCAATACATTAATCATTGTTGTATACAGTTAAATTGCAAAATTAATCATGTATGAAGATTTTATTCCACCTATTCTGGAATGTGATGCCAAGGTGGCATTAAATTAGGCATCCAAGATATAATAATATGAGAATTGACTGGACTGATACCAGTGTACCAAAAACTCTCCACATCGTATAAATAAAAAGGCACATTGGTTTATTGCAAGTTTAAAGAGCTCCCAAGTCCCAATGGCCCGAGCATGATCCAGTCCTAGTAATAAACGAAAGTTGAACTGGAAAATATAGTGTTTGCACGAAGGCAACAACATAGGCTGATCAAACATACCTTTTGATGGGAGCTTAGAAGAGTCTCACGCTGATGATGTAAATCTTCGAGTATTGAAACACCAAGTTGTTCAGTCTCCAGCATGACTCTTCGACTCTCCCTAATTCGGTCACTTGATTCATTTATTCTTTCTATTGACATAGTTAACCTTTCCCTTTGATCAGCGGAGGCCTGCATTATTTTCCATACATGAGAAAAAAAAGTACTCTTATCATCAATTAATGACTGAGTGGCAATTCTACTGCCCAAGCTGCCTTAGAAACACAAATTATTTTTAAGCAAACCATTAATTTCAAATTTCATTAAAGCAGTCGAAGAAGTGAGGTCAAACAAGTCACAAACATGCAAATGCAAATAACTCCAAACCCATCCCAAGAGACAATCTCACTCTATCAAAATAATAAGGCAGCAAGGGGGTCAGACATGTATACCACATTTAGCCTCAGGATAGAAAAATAGACAACATATAAAATGATAATAACATTAAAAATGATGACAAGCAGAAAAATTACTAGAAAATTTTTCACGTCTCACTATGCACAAAGAGGGCCATCGATAATAGTACTAAGGAACATTACTTTTCATTAGCAAGATCAGGATATTTTCATCCATGGTCTCATTCAAGGTAAATGGATGAAATTTTACCTTGAATGAGACCATGGATGAAAATATCCTGATCTTGACACAAGAAAAATAAATTAATCTGATATTAACACAAAATATCATAATGAAGAATGACCATAAGCAGATGCTGAACTCTGTGGTTCCAAATTCAAGGTTCTAACATAGAAAGACCCCATCTATCGTCTTTTATTCTCAAAGGGAAGTTTGTACATTGTAAATCTAGAAAACTATCAAATAGTATAATCGAAAGTTTTAGAAATACCATATGAGCATCCGCCATTCCAGCCTCTAGCAAATCTTCACGAGCAGTCTGATCAGCATCAGGTGATGTTAACCTTTTAAATTCCTTCTTCAATTTGTTCAGATCAGACTTGTATTCTCTCAGCTTAGCAAGCAGCGTTGCTTTCACACTTGCCTGCAAACTTCTTGCCTCAAGATCCATCTTTCGAATCTGAAGCGAGAAAGAGAGAGATCGGTCAGACACAAGGGGAAGATCATGAAGTGAAAGAATTTGAAGCACAGATTTTAAGAGTTATCTGCAGCTTGGTACCAGAACTTCAGCATCATCTAATCCAGCTTTGATCTCAGCAATTTTTTGCTGCTTCTGGTCTGAAATTGGCGAATAAAAAACAATAATGCATTTAATGTCACATTACATTATTATACATCTTAGTACACCTAGAAAATTTATCTAGTACTCATCTTCGAGGATAACCTAACATCCAACATTAACAAAGGACAATCATTTAAGGGAGGCACCGAATCACGTCACACTGCCAGGCAGTAGCCGCCAAATATTTGTCAATTCCATTAATTTAGCAAGTCTCAGCCAGTAAAAACCAATCACTGATTGGACACCGAATATGCAGGCAAATTGCATAATAAGTAATCTGATGTAACAATAAATGAGTTTCTTTTCCTGACTCTTTAGATTCTAAGGGCATCTATCACCACCAAAAAAAAGAAAAACTCAGACAGCAGCGCCCTGAGCAACATTCTAAGGAACGTCTAAAATTAAAATTTAGAAAAGGTCAACTGCCAACCAATTTAGCAGTTGCACTTCCTGCAGACAAATGCACGCATGCTATCACTAACCAGAAACACCGAGCTATAGATCTTGGAGTAGATCTTTCTATAGCTAAATTCCTTCCAAAGCAATCAGATGAATGTTCGGATCTTTTCTACCTGGGTCAGAAAGAAGAGACGCCGAGCCACATTTACGAGACAGATTAGCAGAGAGATCACAGTATTGACGCTCGTACCCCTCGAAGACCTCGCTCATATTGCAGGCACCGTTCTTCAGAGAATGAACAGACGGGAAAGCAAACAAAAAAGATCGAGGAAGAAATCAGATAGCCGATAATATATGGTTCATGAATCGACCATGCAAGCCATGGATGTATGATTACTACCTTGATCTAGCGGGAATTAGTGATCTGAAACTAAAAGAGCCGCACAAGACTCCTTGAGTTTTCTGGTGCCCGCACAAGCCGATAAACGAAGGGGCCGATCAGGAACTTCACTGAACGAACTGTAATTTCATCAAACGCAGGGAAATATTGCGTGCGGTTCGGGCTGCTAGATTCTCTGGAGTGGAGTTATACGTATCCAAGGCCAAGAGCCAATGTTTCTGCACCTCAAAAATTTCAACTTTTTCCTAGAGTTTTTTCTGCCAACAATGTTTTTTCCTAGAGTCTTTCATTTCTTGGTTTTAAAAATACTGTTTTATTTAGTATAAAAAATAATTTTTTATTTTAGAAAAAAAAATATTAAAAACTTGTTTGATGGTTAATTTTTTAAGTGCTTTGGAAAAAAAAATAGAGATATGTAAGCTTTTTTTTTTTTTTTCATTTTTCTAATTCTCTCTTTCACTTACGGTCATGCTTTTCATTCTATCTTTTATGCTTACTTTTTTGGTGGCTTGTCTTTTTTCATGCTGTCTCTTAGTCTTTCAAGTCGTATTTGGGAACCTCCTGATGTAAACACTATCAAAATCAATATCGACGGCTTTTTCATAAACCAAGCAGAATTTGCAGGCATTGGAGCAATATGCAGGGAGAATAATGGAACCTTCTTGGGTGGTATATGCAAGGAAGTTAAAGCTTATACTCCTTTTGAATCTGCATGCCTATGCTTTCTCTAGCTATAATATCTGCATTGAAATGGATTGTGAAGAACTTTTTAAAGTTCTTTATGATAAGGATTTAGACAAAGTTGAATGGCAAAGTTCTTATCTTCTTGGTGATATTCTTTGGCTAACTGAGTTAAAGTCAAGTGTATAGTTCTCATTGGTTGCTAGATAATAAAATCGTGCTACAGACTTTCTTGCAGCTGCTAATACTGAAGGAATAGCAGAAGATCTAATACTGAAGGAATGGCTAATAGAGTGGGAGTTGGCTGATCTAGCTTTAAGGCTCTTTTTCTTTTTCTTTTTTCTTTTTCTCCTTTTTGCTGTTTGTTAAAGCGTTGTCTTTAGTTTGTGTTTTGGATTGTTGTAGCTTCTGTATATTTCTTTGGTTTCTGTTTCTGGTTGTTTTGTAGGCTTCTTTCTGATTATTAATAAAATGATTCTTTTTTTCTGTGAAAATAGTAAAATGATTCTTTTGTTGCAAAAATTGTTCCAGATAATGTCATGTTTTTTGTTTTCAAATAATGTGATTTTTTAGAGCAATCATCTAAACAAATTTTTTCTTTCCAAAACATGTTTGAAAATTTTTTTTATAAAACTATTCTAAAAATATAAAAACAAAAAAAAAGAATCAAACAAGGCCAAAATCTTTGTGTTTTTGGGGAAAAAAAGGAAGGAAAAAAAAAAAGAATTCTTCTTGTATTTCTGTTATATAGATAAGGGAGCTAGCAATTAAATTCTTGGTGAGTCTAAATCCGTTTTTTTTTTAATTTCAAAATAATATTAGCTCAAAGTATACAATGCAATATTAGAGTTAGAGAATGGAAGAAGAAAAAAAAAGAAAAGAAAAGAGAAACACAAGATTAAAAAAAAAAAAAAAGGACACAGATGAAATTGCTTAATTGTAATAAAAAGATCTATACTATTTATTACTCTCCACATTTCTTCAAATATGACCCCCGTTTTTGTAAAATACTGTATTTCAATATATAACGCATTTAACAAGGTTTTGAGAACAAATTAGCTTTTTATTTAAAATGCTCTTAGAATTATTTACTTCTTACCTAACAAACAATTAATGATTGGTAGTGCTAAAGAATGATAACATTGAACTAAATTGAAAATTTAATTATCTAGCTATTTTTCCCTCACATTAGTTAACAAAGTCTTGTATGTAAAATAAAAGTAATATAAGAATAAAATGAAAAAATCACAATTAAATTTAGGGGTTAAGGTGCAATTTTAACAATAAAGTTTACCCTAAAGAGCACTGGGCACCATAAAGTTTATTTGGATGCAAAAATATACATGAAGTTGTCAAAAGGGAGCATCTGGCACCATGCCGTTAACGTTCGTCAGTTTACCGTTAGAGGGGTCCAGAAAGTTAGTTTTAAGGTGCATTTTTAACAACAAAGTTTGCATCAATGGGCATTAGGCACCATGAAATTTACTTAGGTGTAAAAATATACATGAACTTTGTAAAAGGAAAAAAATAAAAAAAATTCTTCAACCTCCATAAACATCCATTAATTTTATTCTTTTCGGTCTCACCAAATGCTATATTTTCTCTTTATAAATTTCCACTTCCAAGCCGATTCATCTTTCTCTCATCATAGTCAACACGCACACTCTCTCTGTCATGTTGTTTTCTGAGCCTCCAAGCTTTTTATATGTATTTAAGCAAAACACATCTTTCTCTTCTAGGATATGAGGTTCATTACTCGCACCCGAGTACTACCTCTAGTCCTTAATATAGGATCTAATGGACTAATTGGAGGAGATTAAAATAAATAAATAAATTACTTTAAATATTATATTATTTATTTATTTGACTCAATAGCATATATTACATGATCTCTCTAAAATATTTATATGCATCATTAAATTATATATTAGTTTACAAGCCAAGAAAATTAATTTGGAGAAAAAACAAGAAATATAATATTTTAAAGTAATTTATTTATTTATTTTTAATCTCCTAGTCCATTGCATCCTATATTAAGGACTGGAGGTAGTACTTGGATGCAAGCAATAAACCTCATATCCTAGAAGGGAAAGATGTGTTTTGCTTAAATACATATAAAATGCTTAGAGGCTCAGAAAATAATATGACAGAGAGAGTGTGCATGTTGACTATGATGAGAGAAAGATGGATCGGCTTGGAAGTGAAAATTTATAGAGTGAAAATATAGCATTTGGTGAGACTGAAAAGAATAAAATTAATGGATGTTTATGGAGGTTGAAGAATTTTGTTATTTTTTTCCTTTTACAAAATTCATGTATATTTTTACCCCCAAGTAAATTTCATGGTGCCTAATGCCCCTTGATGCAAACTTTATTGTTAAAAATGCACCTTAAAACTAACTTTCTGGGCCCCTCTAACAGTAAACTGACGGACATTAACGGCATGGTACCAGATGCTCCGTTTTGACAACTTCATGTATATTTTTGCACCCAAATAAACTTTATGGTGCCTAGTGCTCCTTAGCGTAAACTTTGTTGTTAAAATTGCATCTTAACCCTAAATTCAGTTGAAAGACTAAAATTCATATTCAGACTTACACTTTTGATAAATTTCTAATCAAGCTAAAAAAACTAATTATGAATTTTTGAATCCGATGACTTTACCTTGAAGACTAATCCCCGAAATGGCAATGGTCTTCTCATAGAGAATTCTCCTTGAAGTCGGCTCATGAGCACATAACAATTCACTGAAGCAGAGACTTGTCTGACCTTTGAAGAAGAATTTGGATTTTTTTTTTGTTGCTGGAAAAAACAATTTGGAAGTTACATAACTGCCTCAAAGATGTAAAACCTTATTATGGCTCTAGAGCCTTTGCTCACTATGACCAACGTGGCTTGGTAAAATCATAGAATTTTGAAGAGATTCTCTTTACATTTAGTTAGTCCCTTGGTTTTCATTTCTTCATATAAAAAAGTTCTCTAGCTTCTGGGATATGCAAAAACCTAGTGTTTCAGTCTAATTCAAAGCAATTCGAGATGGTCAAGTTGATCGATCCAAATAAATAATGTGATAAAATCAGATCAAATTGGATCAAACTAGTTGGTCGGACTAGATTATATATGTTTTAAACCAAGTGGTCAGACCACATGAACTAGTTAGTCTGGTTTGAGTGATTTTTTTTTAAAAAAATTAATTTGAAAATTTTATTATTATTGTTTAATATTGTTGGATATTCTTATGGATTTATAATTAAGTTTTGATGTTTTTGGAAGATTTTTATATGATTATAGGTATTTTTTTAATTATTCTACTCCTCCGGTCCTAAATATAAAACCCTTATACTAGTGTGTATAAAGGTCTTACATTTAGGACCAGAGGAATAATTGTGTTTATTATTGAAATCTTGGTTTCAATAAAGAAAAATTAAAAAAAAAAAAAAGGTCCTAGACTAGTTGGACTAGTCGAGTCCATTTGATGGACTAAGTCCAATCCCGTCCGACCTCCAGTTCCTATTGGACTAGACTAAACCATAGGTTGTCAAACTCTAGTTATCAAAAAAGCTGACCATATTTTAAGTTGGGTTTTTACATGATTTGTTTTGTCCCTTGTACAACCCTAATTTTTGAGCCTTATAGTCTAGTTAATATAGGTGCATCACTCAAATTAGAATTAGATTATGGTTATAGTGATAAGATTAATTAATATTTGCTTAAATTTAGATTCATTAACTTGTTAATGATTTCTTTAACCAAAAGAGTCATAATAACATTAACAATCCTCGTTAAGAACCATTGAAAGAGATTTAAAAAGTTGTGCACATTCAAATTCATCAATCTCATGCACTACAAGATTGAACAGACACTTAATAAATTAATAAAAGATTAATTCAATCTAGTGTCAAACAACCAAATCAAGCATTAATCAATACAAACCAAGTGTGCAACTATCAATTTCAACATTCAAATACTAAAATCCATTACAAATATAATGAAACAACTCTAGCATCACAATTCAATCTTCTAACCAGGATAGGTCAAATATATAAAATTGGAAGTGGAGATAAAATGTAAATAAAACGCCATAATTGGTTGCTCCAAGCTCTGGCATGGTCCTCTGCTTCATAAGAAAATTCAAGTTCTCGACTTATGGTTTTGATATGTCAAGAGATAAAATTATTCAAATTTTTTATTAAATGAAATAGACTAATATTTTAAATAAAAAAAATTTGAGAGATTAAAACCAAAATAAAAATGAACTTAAATAACAAAAATTATATTAACCCTGTATAAATTTACACTGATTCTAGATGCTTTGCATTTTATTTTGAGTTTTTGAGGAGAAATTGAGTCTATTACTAAGAGTGTGTTTGAGATCACATGTGGAGTCCCAAACTGACTTGTCTGCCGATAAAAGGAGCTTTTATGATTTAGGATGTGTTTGGAATCATATTTTTACAATATGACTTATTT